TCCGTCAGCGTCGTCACGTCGATGTTACATACCGTTGTAGATAATTTTGGGGTTGGTGAGGAAAGTTACCAAAGAAGTTGCTCTGTACTTAATGATAAGCCTTCTTATGTAGTTTGGTGTACACCCATACCAGGCGCAAACTACAAATGATACAGACATGTAATTACTAAATAAAAATATACATTTTATGTTCGTCTTTGATAGAAACTGAATTTAAATGATTTTCGGCTTTTACAATGCAAAGGAACTAAAATAATTATTTAAACAAATAAATTATGTTACCAACCTCTGTTTGGTGTACACCAGCGTTGACCAATCTTAGGGCTATATCACGCTGTTGTATAGCTAATCTACACATGTGGTGTTTTTCTGATATGTCGATCTCTATCGTATCCGAGAATATCATGTGCAATCTTATTTCACCAATTCTCACATTTTTTTCGTGCATTGTGTGAATGTCGTTCGTTCATGGTTGAACGCACCTCATAATTAAAATTGACATGCTTGAGCATATGACATGTGTGAAAATGCAGCCAATAGTCAGAACACAAAATTTTGTAAAAATATATTGATAAACGAAAAAGTTATAAGGACATAAAAGGTGCACACTTATAAGATTTGTTAAGTGTATGTATAAAGTACAATTACAAGAAGAATTACCAGCATAGCACTTGCCTTACAAGCCTCAGTGGCAAACATTACTCAACTCATTGTTCCTCTTATTTTTATACTTTAACCATTAAACTTATATTTTCTTATATCTATGATAATACAATCATTTTTCTATCCGGCGACTTGATGCTTTAGCATAGTAGTACATGTGTAATCCTCGACTGCGCATGAGCAGAAATATACCAACTCAATAGCGTTGGACCGTGATTCGGGCGACCCCTGTTCGGTTCTCGGACGGCGAATGTCACTTTCGTTGTGATTGATCATGAAATCCGTTCTGTGGGCATTCGCACTGTACTTCTGCTCTTGCATGAACAGAAGTAATCAGCTCCTTGCGAAAAGTGAAGGCAACTTGTACTGGTAAACTGCTTGACAGTCTGCCCAGGAAGGATGCGGTGGCTGGACTGTGCTCTGGTAAATTCAATGTGGCTTACTGCCGTGATCTGGACACCAAAACCACCGCTCATTGCTAAGTACTGGTTGGTTCCAAGGATTCGATAGTGTATCAATCAGCTTCTGGCTTCCAACACATTGAACTAAAATCTATTCTATATATTAAACTAAAAGCTGTGACCGAAATTTCTATATCACCTTATGAACTGTGCCTAAAATATATGTTTATGTTAACATTTCTTTGGATACAGCTTAAACAATCAAATGACAAATATATTGCCGAATAGTCAACATTAAATTTCATTTCGACTCATATATAGGTTTTAATAAGGAATATAAAGGGTGAAATCGGGCATTCCATTTTACTTCGACACAACGAGAAAATCGACTAATCGAAGTTCGACTCATAGAAGTTCTATTGTAAATGACAAATACATTGTTGAATAGTCAACATCAAATTACATGAACTTTCATTAACGTTTTTCAGATGTAATTAGAAACTGCCTGCCAATCATAAAGAAGGACGAATGCGAGGAAAAGGACGGTGTCAGTGTGTGCGTCTGTACGTCAAACTTGTGTAACACAGCCACGATTGAAACCATGTCCACCATTGCTGTCATCACGACCTTCGCGTGTGTCTTTCTAAATACCTTCAGAAATATCTTCTAATATTGCTAATAGGAACTATATCATGTACACACAACACTTATATTAACGTTTTATTTTCTCTTTTTTAAAAAGCCAAACACCCATTTTTGTCATGATTCAATTATTATGTTGATATTGAATACTAGTATATGACTGTATAAAAGGATACTACGAAAGACCGGTGCGGACATTTCAACTTCATGAATTACCGATTGCATCTTAGTGAATCAACAATTTTAACTTAGTAAATTCACGTTTTCAACATACGGAATTCACGAATTTGAAATCTTGAATTCATGAAGTTGAAAACGTGAATTCACGAAGTTGAAGTCGTTAAGTTCAAAACGTGAATTCAATGATATGAATTCGTGAAAGCATGAACTCGTGAGTTCGTGAAAATGAAATCGTGAGTGCGTGAAAATGAATCATGAAGATGAAATCGTGAATTCATGAAGCTGAAGTCGTGAAATCTGTATGTTGAAATCGTGATTTCGTAAAGACAAACCCGATAATACAAGACGTTGAAATGTAACCACAGGTCTTTTATAGGAAACACTCTGTAAGATAAATCCATTTCATGTTCCACTAAATGTTATTATTTGTCTCTAAAAAGCATTGTGCATATTAACATTGCGTCCCTTAAGTGCCGCTTGGAATTTTAAATTGAACAAGCACTGTACTGTGACGTCATTTTCATTCATAGTATGACGTTAATGTATGACTGAGTCTCGACGTTTGCCTTACAATGTTACAAAATTTGTGTGATTTGGCTGTGGTTCTCTTAGCATTATGGTAAGATAGAGGATATATGTTTGTTTTGCATGTAAGATCGAAATACATGTATATTAGGCTGAGTAGATACCAGATGCAATATAATTAATTATTCACGAGTGGCGTAGTTTTTATGTACACATGTATATAATCTTGAGTGTGTGTTTTAGTGGGTGAAAATATAGTTCAGTTTTACATGCAAAACAAACAAATTTTCTATTTATTTCATGTTTCTTTAAAATAGGTCATTTTCACTTTTGTTGGACCGCGTGACGTCGTGCGTTCTACATCATGACGTCATCATGTATCAATTCTGTAAAATTTCTCGAATTTTCTTACAATTCTAACAATGCACTATGCAGTTATTTACTAGCTTCTCCTAAAGAATTTACATACAGCGGAATGTATTCCTGTTGATAATTCCATTTACATGTAGTTACGAAATATTATTTTTAATCCCGTTCAAAAATAGTCCGGCTACAGTAAAAAATATCAAATATCATTTCACTGTAAAAGATAATGAAATGTAATTTCACTTTCCAATGCAAAGCATGTATATATAATAATATATGTGTCTGTACTGTAATATGTAAAAAACAATTTTATATCACTGAGTTTTGCATGAGTATATGGTATAACTACATGTTGTTTTTCCAACTCATATAATAAATGATAGAACACTGTATGAGTTTTTTTCTCATTTCTCGTATGTAAATTCATTTCCTTTGAGAAAAACTTTTATGAAAAGATGTTTGCAGCAATCACACAGTTTACGGCTGTTGCCACTCCCAGATACTATTAAATATCAAGGCCGCAATTCAGCCAACTTTCCACAAGTGCTATATTACAATATTAAACGGTATCCGGACATCAAGACCCCTTATGTCTTTTTTCCTGCCGATTTGATTTGTCTTATTCCCGAAAAGAGAGGCGGCGGGTCGGTAAACCATAATATTATATGTTATTTTGGTTTTGGAGTGATATATGTGGATATATTACCTGCTAAGATTTTATATCACCCGAGCCGTTAGGCGAGGGTGATATTTTATCTTGGCAGGTAATATATCCACATATATCACTCCAAAACAAAAATAATAATTTTATTACCCTTCCCCCGCCGAGTTAAGACGATTTTTTAAAAAATCATTGTTGTTTCAAATGAAACGTCGAAATAAGATTCCCTTTAGAGTACCCCTTCATCACAACATGACGTCACATAAATACATGACGTATTTTTTCCCCGTACTTAACGAATGTAAACAAGAGAAAAGGTGTAGTCTATTGAACGCACTTTTTTGTAATTGATATCAAGCTTTTTCAAGGTCATATTTGTTTTCAATACTGATAAGAATATGTATCATTACTTTACTTAAATTATTAAATTAAATTAAATATTTTACTTAAATATTTATCATTTGACAGTTAAAAAGTGCTTGTAAATCGGAATTTACACCGCGAAAAATCGAACCGTACGCGCATCATCTCAGCGCATGTTGTTTACAACGTGGGGTACCCAACGGGGAAATTTAGTGTGTATATTACCCGTCTTGCTCGGTAATATCAATTTCTTTCGGGTGATCAATAACCAATCAAAAAGGCGGAAAAAATCTGGAAGGGTAATAAATATATATATATAATGAGGTGTATATAATGATCAAACGACGTCATGTAATAAGACTGGCAAAAGTTTAAGACCACTGAAAAAAAATCTAAGACAAGAGGTCACACCTGCCCCCTGTAAACCAAGCATCCGTATGACAAAGAATCTCAAACAGACGCTTATTAAATAAATATCAGTTACGGAACGAGAGGACGATTGCCGACTTAACATTAGATAAATAAATAGAAAAAAAAACACAAGATCAAAACATATTTGTTAAATTAATTACGAAAGTCCGGTGGGGACATTTCAGTTCAAAATCGTGAATTCATGCCCTTGAAATGATGGACCCGACAATTCAGTAAGTTGAATGTCACCACCAGTCCTTGTTTTAAAAGGTCTGTATGCAAAACATGAAGTATAAAATACAGAAAGGTAAAATCAAGTTTGTTTACTTGATATCATAATGCCCAGAAGGCAAAACTTTAAATTTTATGTATTATTCATGCGCACTTCACTCATAAGGAAAAAACCTCTTGAGGATACATCTGTCATTTGCGGAAGATAAAAGATTTCAGTTTCTATATCACTAAGGTGATAAAATGACGACCAGATAGCTAACAGTAAAAGTTTTGTGTGAGTGTTCATATATAGAAGGTGCCTAGGTGAGGTAATGGGTCAAAATTTAGCAAGATCGAGATCGTCATTAGGACAAATTTAAAGCGGGAGTTGGACTGTTCCTATGGCAAGTTTTGAACCGACGGCCATGTTGAGCTGTTACATGTAGCAGACGATAGTATATATAACATCGGATCATTCCAAAATTAATGAAAGAACGACGCGTTTTTAAAACGCCCTCCAGTTGTTATTTTCTGTTGAATAAAAAAACAATTTTGCATTGTTTCATCTAAGTATTTCAGTAAAATTTATCTTGTAAAAGTTGCATCATTATCACTGTTAATCGCCTCGCCTCGCCGCCGCCAAAATCATCATCACTGACATCATTGCCCTCGCCCTCGCCGTCGTCACTTACACCATCATCACTAGCATCGTTTCCATCGCCCTCGCCCCCGCTACTATCACCATCATTATCACAAGCATCGTAGCTCCCACCCTCGCCGCCGTCACTAAAATCATCATTATCACAAGCATCGTCGCCCTTCCTTTGACCCTCGCCACTAGCACCATCATCATTATTAGCATCGTTGCCCTCGCCCTCGCCGTTGTCACTTACACAATTATCACTAGCATCGTTTCCATCGCCCTCGCCGCCGCTACTATCACAATCATCATCACTAGCATTGTCGCCCTCGCCGCCGTCAACATCGTCATCATCATCATCACAAAAAGCATCGTTTCCCTACCCAGTTTTTTGTCTCTCAAAGTATGTTGGTCAGTAGAGGAAATACGGTATCAAAAAAGTATATATGAACATTACTAACGATTTCATAAATTGCTTAGTTCCGTTTATGTCATTGTTTTACGTGAAATGAAAACAAGTGGTACTTGAATAACAATAAACTTGTTATTTGCAAGCATTTGACATACTTTTTATTCTAAGTGTATAACAAGATAGTCAACAAGTGCTTTATTTACATTGCTTTTATAAATTCTTCTTATTTGTATTTAACATAGCGTCTCTATTGAATTAGTTTAAAATTATATCATCATCACCAATGTCATACCGGGATTGTCAATGTCATTCCGACACTGCCAATGTCATACCGGGACTGTTAATGTCATACCGACACCGCCAATGTCATATGGACACCGCCAATGTCATACCAACACCACAAATGTCATATCGACACTGCCAATGTCATACCGAGATTGTCAATGTCATACCGACACTGCCAATGTCATACCAACACCGCAAATGTCATACCAACACCGCAAATGTCATATCGACACTGCCAATGTCATACCGACACCGCCAATGTCATACCAACACCGCAAATGTCATACCAACACCGCAAATGTCATACCGACACTGCCAATGTCATACTGACACCGCCAATGTCATACCAACACCGCAAATGTCATATCGACACTGCCAATGTCATATGGACACCGCCAATGTCATACCAACACCGCAAATGTCATACCGACACCGCCAATGTCATATGGACACCGCCAATGTCATACCAACACCGCAAATGTCATATCGACACTGCCAATGTCATACCGAGATTGTCAATGTCATACCGACACTGCCAATGTCATACCGGGATTGTCAATGTCATACCGGGACTGTTAATGTCATACCAACACCGTCAATGTCATACCAACACCGCAATGTCATACCGACACCGCCAATATCAAATCGAGTCTATGTCATAACAAAGACTGTCAATAACATAGCGAAGCTGTCAATGTCATACCGACACCGTCAATGTCATACCGACACTGTTAATGTCATAGCGACACAGTCTATGCTATAAGAGAGTGTCAATGTCATAGCGATGCTGTCAATGTCATACTGCGACTTTTCAGCTTTACTCGTGGAGAAAGACATTAATTGTCCCTTCCTGAAATTTACGGACACAAGAAGGCACCTGAATAGAAACACCGAAGTTATCTGATTAACTTCCTGACATGAAAAAGAATACAAAGTCCCTGGCGAGATTAAAACATATGGCGGTAAGGGGCATGTGGTGTGAATTTCGGGAACCTTAATGGGGGCTTTTTCTTTAATTTGCAATGAGCTTCTTCATGAGAAATATTTTATATGTTTACTTTTGGAGGACACTGCATATACTAGTATAATGCGAGAAAACGTTGCTTTTTAAATAAACCAACTAGGTAATCCGTTAACTATGTTACTTTCATAATGTCACTTTGGTAGCACTGCATGGTTGCCAGTTTTACATGGAGTAAAATAGCTCGAAAACCCGAGATTGTATTTTCATAAATATGAAAATTAAAAAAAAGAAAAATATCAAGTATTGTTTAAAGGCACAGTATGCTTTGAAAAAAATCATTTTTCTTATTCTTCAGAAATGTCAAACGTGTTTTTAATTATGTTCTGATAATGGATTAAGAGTAGATGAAAAATATTTCAAGAAAGTAGCGCTTAATCTGCAGTAATATGTCGTAAAGGAAGAAATAAATAAACAAATAAGTATTTTGACTTCCATACAAAAAACTTATTCCCTATAATTTCACTAGTTGCCGAAATATCAAAAGAAGGTACAGATATTCCATGTGTATGGCAAATAAGTATGATTTTTTATGAAACTGCAATAAGATATAATGTTTTTAAGAATTAAGAATGATAGAATAAATAACGCATTATGGGCCTTTAACTAGCTGGTTTATAACCAGTCACCTTACACTGCGTGGGATTTTGGCCGTTGCTTTAAAATCACCTCATCCTCAACTTACTTCCGCCCAATCTTGCAAAATATTTCAAAACATTTTTTTTTTAATTTTGAGAAATGCGTAGTAAAACAATGTAAGTTAAGTAGTATATTCCCATCAATACAGTAATATTCTCCTCCTCACCCCCCCCCCCCCCCCCCCCCCCCCCCACACACACACACACTTGAATGAGGTTCAAGGTACAACATTTATGTATACAACAACAAAACATTAAGAACACTATTGTTCTCGCGGCGACTCTTAACTTTTAATCACGTGTTCATTCTTGACATTTTTCCCGTTTTCCAAATGCAGCCAACTGTACTTATACACGCCTTATAGCACTTTCGGCCGTTTGTTAAAAGTTTCGCTTTTTTACATGTGTGTGAAACATGTTTTATAACCATAGGAAATCTTTTTTGCATGGTGGCTGATTTCTGCCATTTCGCGTTTTCGCCCCTTAAAAGTCGAAGGCACAGACACGGAGTTTGTGGGGCGAAGATACGAAGGCATGATGAATATGTTCACTTGTCGACTCTTCGCGGGCGCCGAGATCTTCTTCTATCTAAGTACGGAGCGTAATACGAATAATTCTCTACCAGGCGGCTAATTCATCTCACACCGACTTTTATACGAAAATGAATGAAAAATATAATAATCGCCGAAAAGGGCGATATTTTTCTACTTGTTATGGCGGCTTATTTTTACTATTTTGTGACTTCGTCTTAAGTCAAAGACGAAGACACGATACGTTTTAGGCGAAATAACGATATTCCAACGTATACATTTAATTTACATATGGCGGATTTATTCCTTCTTGATAATTCCATTAATTTTATTTATGAACAATTATTTTCATCCGCATTCAAATATAGCCCGGCTACAGTGAAAATTATGAAATATAATTTCACTTTCCACCTCAAAGCATGTAATATTCCAAAAGGCAGAGACATGAGATGTACTTTTGTAGAATTATCGTGTCGGCGATAAGAAATCTTCGTATCGGCGCCCCATATCTGTCGTACTGTGGCTTATTTCAACTATTTCGTCTGAACCCCCGAGGACACGATGTTAGATATTTGTTTTGAAATGTTTTACCAAAAACATCATATTGTAAATTCTTTATCTCAATAAATTATATTTTCATGGTTTGTATCATTATATCCGTATCTAGTTTCTTACATCGAGTGGTATGAAAATGTGTATTTAATGCGAGTGAAATATGATAATTTTCATACCAAAAGATGTAAATAAATCCTGTATATATAGAAAAAACTAGAATTTTCTGTTTATTATATTCATTTTTTTCTTAAATAGGAAGAGTTTGTATTGGCTGAATTTAGAAGAAAGTTATCCGGCAAAACACCAGTGTAAATACGGAAAATATTCTTCACTGCAGTGTAAAAATAATTTTGTACAGTGAAAATACGGAAAATAAAAATATTTCTCAATATTTCAATTACAAGTATATAATAAATCTTCGTTCATAACGGTGAAATTGCTTCATCCAAAGTGTGCAGTTTCATTGGCGCCATTAAATCGCACGCGACTCATCTGGCATCTTAATACCAGATTTTTATCCGACTGTTGTGTAAAGTGAATAATCTCAAGGATGAGAAGAAAAATATCTGAATTGAACATAATGGAGCAAAAACGATCGTACAGAATGTTTATCTATCGAAATTTTAAAAACATAGCTTTTTTATTAATTCTTTTATTTATTTATTTATTTATTTATTTATTTATTTATTTATTTATTTATTTATTTATTTATTTATTTATTTATCTATTTATTCATTTATTTATCTATTTATTTATTTATTTATCTATTTTTTATGACACACTAACACATTAAAAATCAAACGAGGTTTACTTGTGGAGGAAGACCAACAATGTCCCATTTTGCATTATTTCATCTGGACGCATGCAGTTTTTCAACGGTAACATGCCTACTTTGACAAATAATTGAAATGTGCGTAAGAGAAGGGAGATAAATCTGCAGTGCAATGGTAATTAGTGCCGTGGAGTTATCCCTCTTAGCAATACAATGTATATTATCTAGAATGTTCAGATGAGGCGCAAATAAATAATCGCTGTGCAATCGTTGCAGTTTGTTTAAATATGTGATTCACGGCAAAATCTAACTGGAATACTTCCTCAATCATTTCGTCGTTGTTCACATTTAGAATTTCTTCATTGATATACATGCAATACCTCTTCACCTGAGCGGCCCTCAATAATTCAAACAATTCTACCTCATGAAAGACTTTAAGTACCACCTCTTTACAACAATCAAACTCTTTTACTCCCAAACGGTGATGCTCTAAAGAAAAATGCACATGTTATTAACCCATTACTCCATGAGCATTTTGTGAAAAATGGCTGTTTTCATTAAAAAGCCTCCATTCACAAGTTCAAATTGCTATGAAGCTGATTTCAAAGTGCTGCAATTTTTGGATGGATTGAGATACAGTGAAAGGCTTTTAGCGAATCTCACAAGTCAAAAATTTTCTTGGCGTTAGGGGGTGGGGGAGGGCTGTTGTCCCTCTTTAAAACATTAAGCAGAAGAGAGCACATCCCCCCTCTGGCACTCCCTGATGTTTGTGGCCTAAATAGGACATTATTTCACTATTTAAAGCCTCAAAAGGGGGCTGGAAGTCGAAACTGCAATTTTACAACCATTTCCTTGTTTGCAATAAGTAAAAATACAGTGACATTATGCCCATCAAAGGGTATATAGTGAGTGTAATAGGCGAATATCAAAATAAGTTTTCATTTTGCCATAATAGCTTTTAATTTAATAATTTACTTCCCATAAACAATAAATAAAGCACAGATCCAGATAAATATTTTGTAAATATCCATTAGAATTTACCTCTAATGCTCAGTTTATAAAAAGAGTGGGGCAGTCTTTTTTAGTCTTTTTGTATTTTAGGGAGATTTATAATTTTATCCTGAACGTTTTCTAATATCAACTGTTGGTTAAACACCATTTTAACAGTCCATCTTTTGAAATATAAAGTCAATTAAGCTCAACTTGACTATGAAAATATGAGCATAATGTCACTTTATGTATGGAAGTCAAAATACTAATTTGTTTAAAATGCCCATAAACCATTAATTAAACGTTGTTAAACTCTTATATATCCATTGTAAAGAATGAAGAATTTTCTGAGGCATTATGTACCCTTAATATTAAGACGTTGAAGTTAAATGTTTATGTCACATAAAGCTATATACATATAATATGTATAGCTGATGCCGTAGTTTACAACATTATTGTTTGAATTTAAAAATACTTATGTAAAGGTTGTTTGTTTTTCAAGAACAAATCATTGCAAATTGCCGAGTATTAAATAGCAATAACAGACACCTCGCCTCGATCAATATGTCATCTGCACAGACACGTGTGGTGTGGAGCTTAAAACGCCTTTAAAATAAAAAAAAATGTATATTTGTCAATCGCAGCACATGTACTGATAATATATAATTATTATATAAAAAAAAACTTAATATATGCCGTATTGAAAAAATTCATATTTCAACGTCTTTAATGATTTTATAAATATTTTCGCAAGCAAAAAGTCCGATTCGGACATTCGACGTAAAAATATTATAGCATAAAATCGGCTATTCTCCTCTATTTTGCCCATGTTATAAGGGGACCAAAACCATGTGTTATTTAACATAGTCACGCGCTCTTGTTATAGCCCGGTTTCACCTATGCGCAATACATACAGGGCCCAGTAAACAAACAAAAAAATGACGATTTGGCCTGTTTGCCAAAGAGTCATGCGCTCTTGTTATATTGAAATTATTGATTCGAAGGCCTCAGTCGCATCAAGTAACTATGCCGGAAATACGGCGTATAGACATTGTTGCTAATCTTGGTTGTCGCCCTTTCTAAGAAACGGACAGTTGTCAATGTAAACAAATACAGTTAACTTACAAAACTAGATAACACAAAATGAATATGAGAAAATGTTGTTTTATTTATGTTAATGTTGATAAATGCTCTATATTTATTTGAGAGAATAATGCTTAGTGCCTGATTTTTTTTAAAAACTTGTTTGCTTGAAAAAAAAAACCGATTCTGATGTCACTGATCTTTTTTCTAGCGTCAATCTGAAATCATTCTAAGAATGTTTGAGGGTCATGTTTTGTCTTGGGTAGAGGGTAGAGTAATGTAACGTTGTTTTTTTCTTGAGATAGAATCTAATAAATCGCCAATGTCAAGCTTTGTTAAATCAATTAAAATTCAAAATTTCGTTCGGTTCTGAGAAGTTTCCAAGTTGATGGCCCCGGAAAAAAACGCATTCGTAAAACATGTAGAATTGGATAAATACCGTCCAGGCACAAGAATTAAATTTAATTGTTTTTTTTTTTTTTTTTTTTTTTTTTTTGTATTAACTAGATCTATTCATCACGAATCTGTTTTAAAATTTTATGCTATAATAGCGTGAACGCACGTTCATTTCGTGTTATAAAGTCTGCAGAGTCCCTCGGAACTGTTGGAGCCTTCGCCCTACCGGGCTCGGGTACCAACCGTTCCTCGGGACTCTGCAGACGTTATAACACAGAAAAACGTGCGTTAACCCTATATTCACATACAGTATTTATAAAAAGATATTAAAAATTGCTATACTGTCTTTGTTAATATAAAACCAACATAATGTTACGACTGTTTTAGATGAATGGTTCTTTAAAGCTGCACGCCTCCAGTTGGGACGAACTATTTCAAGAAAATCAATATTGAGAAAATTGTACTAGATTTTTAAAAGAGGTAAAAACCTTCAAAATCCAAGTGATATTTTTCATGTTATGTAGATCTACTGTTTAAGACTGATTTCGCAGTATTTTAAAATATCACCATATTTCTACTGCGTTACTAACACAGTAAGGGCTATTTTTGCATATGTTAACGACTTTTTGGTAATTTTCTTTGATTGTTAGTGCCGAGTGCAATACGTAAATTACTTTAATTGTTCATCTCGCAATCTTTTACATTTAAATACATTTCTAAAATTTTCATGAAAATTAACATGAATATGGAGTCCTGCTGCTTTAAAATTTATTGATTTAGAAAACTTTGTACAATAAAGGGAGGTAATAAATTTGATAAAATCTTCATTTTAGAAAAAACTGAACATCTAAAAGATAAAAACATGATAAAAATGTATAATTTTAATATAATCTTGTACAGGATTGAAAAATTGTATAACAATTATAAATCACTAAACCTTGTTGATATTAATGAAGTAAAACTTTATAATGCAATTTAAGCATTAATGAAGGTTAATTTACATTGAATTATATAGTAACAATTTTGGCGCCAAAACTTGGCAAATATTCTACCATGTGTATATTAGGACATAATTATCCCCCACTATTACTGCATTGTCCGCTGTCAAACCATTATATTGAATACATTATGGTCTGTAATCCAGAGATAAAATTGTGACAGAAACGCATCGTCGGATACCCACGGTTGACAAGTGCATAGATCTACTTTTGAAAAATTGATATAGAGTCTAGATATCATTTGATAGTAGCATTGAATTTGTTGATATTTCAAACAGACGTGTAATAATTTACATAGTAGGAGAAGTTAATGATATTTTTTACTTGAATTGTTGCTATGTTTCTAGCCGAATATTATTACACTGTCACAACTGTCACCATCGTGATGTCGTGCTTCGCCATCGTACTGTCGCACTGTCACCACCGTGCTGTCGTAGACATCGCACTGTCGCACTGTCACCATCGTACTGTCGTACTGCTACCATCGTTCTGTCGCACTGTCACAATCGTACTGTCGCACTGTCACCATCGTGCTGTCGTACTTCGCTATCGTACTGTCGTAGTGTTACCATCGTACTGTCGCACTGTCACAATCGTACTGTCGCACTGTCACCATCGTGCTGTCGTGTTTCGCCATCGTACTGTCGTAGTGTAAGCACGGTCACCATATCGTACTATGTTTCGCGCCTTTCGTTTGAAGAGAAAACGCGCTGGCCCTAACGGAACACGGTAGAAAGGGGTGCTTATTGTGAAATGATTGTCACAAAAGTAGCAAAATGAAATATTTTTGACTCATGCAAAACTATAAAAATTGTACTCATTTCCAAAGGGCGCCAGAAACAATTCAGAAATAACATCATGGGGCTTTAGTAGATCTAGTAAATAAATAATTATATTTGTACGCATGTTATGACTGTTTATGGAAAGTAATTGACATGATGGTTTTTAGAAATTTAAAATGTTCTACTGAGTGGCGCTTTAAAATGGGAACAGTTAGACAAATTTTGACAATAAAGGGAGGTAATAAATTTAATAAAATCTTCATTCGATTTGGAACAGGAACAGTTGAGAAATAAAATAATTACAAAATGTATAATGTTAATATAGAATACATTGAAATAAAAATAATAATAATTAAATTAATAATTTATATAAACGTGTGGATATAAATAAAGTAAAACTTTATAAACCAATTTAACGTAATATTCAGCACAAAATTACTGAAATTATGTAGAAAATTTTGGCGCCAAAACTGATTGGCTTATAAATAATCACAAAATTTAATGTTCTAATTAATTAAGTAGGAAAATCAAAAGTTAAAGTCATAGACCATTTTTATTTTCCGCTATCAAACAGTCGAATTAGAAATGTATACAGTACGTAGTGGTGTTTTATGCATAGATTATAATAATTGCTGACAAAACGCTCAACACCAACGAGTCTGATTGTTTTGTTTATAAAACAATGACCAAAATAAAGGTTTTTTAAAAATAAAAATAGCATTTTATATGTATGACTATGAGGCTATAAGGGCGTGTAAGAAAGAAAATACATTAATTTTACTTTTGTATGTTTAGAGTAAAGTTAAAATATAAAGTACATCACTGATTTTTATGTAGGAACATGTAATATAAATCCGTGACTACATGTTTAACACACCTTTTTTACATATCAGTTATTTCAATTTGTAACATTTATTTTACTATTATGCATACTTTTGACAACAAAGGGAGTTAATAAAATTAATAAAATCTTCATTTTCATAAAGAACAAGAACACTTAACCTTTTACCCCATGAGCATATTGCGAAAAATGGCCGTTTTCATTGAAAAGCCTCCTGTAACAAGTTCAAACTGCTATGAAACTATGAAAAATGCTTCAATACTAATGAAACTTGGCAACACCATAGCCTCTGTAACAGCATGCTCAATAATAAATTTCCTGTTACCATGGCAACGGGGGGACCTCTCAAAATTGCCAAAAGTCACTATTTTGCATTGTTTTTTTTCCCATCAAAACTGATTTCAAAGTGCTGCAACTCCTCAATGAATTGAGATAGAGTAAAAGGCTTTTCAGCGTCGGTTACTAGTTACCCTAAGATCGACCTGAGGCCATTTTTAGCCTGTCACATGTCCAAAATTTTCTTGGCGATGGGGGCACTCCGCCCCCTTCAAACCCCCAAACAGAAGGGGGCACATCCCCCTTCTGGCAACCCCCTGATGTAATATTTGGATGGGGGACGGCGCCGAAAAAGTGGTCACTTATTTTAACAACATTTCTCAAACGAAAAACAGTGTTTGGGGCCTAAGTAGGGCATTTTTTCACTGATTGAGACCTCAAAAGGGGGGGGGGGGCAAAAAGCCGTCGAAACCTGCTTATATAAGGGAAAAGGTTAAAAGAAATGTAGAATCTATAGTTTTTAACTTTTCATATAAATTTAAGAATGAAAAATACTTTAATTACAATCAGAAATTATTTTTGGTCTACGGATATCAATAAAGTAAAACTTTATAATCAATTTAATCTATTGCGGAGTCGGGATCTGAGCAATTAAAGTAATGACTGGTATAATAAAGGGAGGTAATAAATTTAATGAAATCTTCATTTGATTTGGAATAGGAACGGTTGAGAAATAAAATAATTACAAAATGTATAATGTAAATAGAAAATACCCTGAAATGAACAAAAAACTATTATATTCATAATTTATATAAACCTACGGATATAAATAAAGGAAAAATTTATAGAGCAATTGAACGACGTCTGTGTTGAGAAAATTATTAGAAATACCTAGTAAGAATTTTGGCGCCAAAATTGAATGGCTAAATATTAATAAGAAAATCAAAATTTCAGTCATCCTACATATGATTGAATTTACCGCTTACCAACCATTGGATTTGAAATGTATTATTGTGTATAATGCATAGATTATAATAATTGCTGACAAAACGCTCACCACCAACAAGTATTTTGTTAAAACACAATAACACAAACAAATTTTTAGAAATAAAAACAAGATTTCACATTACATGTAAATCTTTGAGGTTATCAGGTTGTTTTAATTCTGTAGTAAAGAAAAGAACATATACATGCATGTTTGTTTTGTATACGTACGTCTCTTGTTTTCGACATAGATCAGTTTAAGTATAAACTATAGTCTGATTTTATTGACCTGTCAATTATGAATACATAATAGGACTCATTTAAATATTCGATCCCACTTCGGTTTGGTCCGTGAAGTTTACGAGAATTAATGTGGAGTATATTAGTCATGGATTGAAAGTCACGCCAGCTTAATGTGAAGGTTTTCGTTAATTCACAATAGGACAGTCGGTAAAGAGAATGCCTCATAATTGAGAGGTCTGTGGTTCGATCCTTACTCTTGCCATTGTTTTAGTACTCTTTCTTTATTTTTGCAGTATATTTTAATGGAACAGATTTGTAGTGTGTGTGTTTTACGGCATTGAAAAGACATTTATTGAGTTTAATCCGTTTTAATTTTAAACATGAATTCTTAAAAAAAACATGTTATTTAAAAAGAGTATACTAGTCTACATAACAAAATTAATAAACCAAATACTAAAAAACGAACAACATTAGATTCAATTATGTTGAAAGTATTAATAAGAAAAAAAAATGGCTCAACGCAGCCTCGAACTTGAAACACGTGTGGCACTTAGATAATAAACTTTTGATTTACCCTATTGCGCTATAACGCTTTTAGAGATACAAATTAAATTAAATTCTATCGTACAGCGTACATCTCACGGAACTTACCGAACATCTACCGAAGATTAATATACTGTGTGCATCGACCGTGTAATCAGTATGTAATTGACAGGTTAATAAAACCAAACAATACATGTATATAAACGCTGTTACTATACTATAATTGTTTGGTTTTATTAACCTGTCAATTACATACTGATTACACGGTCGATGCACACAGTATATTAATCTTCGGTAGATTTTCGGTAAGTTCCGTGAGATGTACGTTGTACGATGGAATTTAATTTAAACTAAGTGAACTCAGCGTTATAGGGCAATAGGGTAAGGCACGAGTTTATAATCTAACTGCCACACGTGTTTTAAGTTCGAGACCGCGTTGGTCCATGTTTTTTTTCTTATTAATACTTTCAGCATTATTGATGCTATATATGATTATTTTATATTGTTCGTTTTGTTTTATTATGTTTTACTTAATTTTGTTATGTAGACTAAAATAACATGTTTTAAGAATTCATGTTAAAAAATTAAAACGGATTAAAATCAATAAATGTCTTTTCAATGCCGAAAAACACACAACAAATTTTTTCAATTAAAATATACTGCAAAAATAAAGAAAGAGTACTAGTGGCAAGAGTAAGGATCGAACCACAGACCTCTCAATAATCAGGCATTCTCTTTACCGACTGTGCTATTGTGAATTAACATTAAACTGGTGTGACTTTCAATCCATGACTAATATACTCAACATTAATTCTCGTAAACTACACGGTCGTCCAAACCGAAGTGGGATCGAATATTTAAATGAGTCCTGTAATGTATTCATAATTGACAGGTCAATAAAATCAGACTATAGCCTTGCTAGTATTAAAGCTGCACGCCTCCAGATGAGGCAAAATATTTCATAGTATTCAATCTTTAATGCATTAAGATAATTATTAAGAAAAGTCAAAAAGTTCAAGTTTTAATTCATTATTTACACTCACAGGCCAACGTTCTACCTACTGAGCTAACAGGACGGCAACATTTGTTGCATTTATTCGTTGGTAGGATACTACGTCATCGCGCACCTGCTAAATGTCCGCTCGGACCTTTTTTTGCAGAAAATCCGTCGACTCGAAGTTAAAATACAATTTTATTATGAGAAATAGTAAAAATATCAAAAAATAAAGTAGCGCACCAAAGAATGGCTATAGTACTGAAACTGACAAAATGTAAAGTTTTGAATCGAAAATAAAAACAATTGGGTTATGTTATTTCACAAGAAATTGACATTCTGTAAGCAAATGATTAAAAAAAATAACGGCAAATATAGAGGGGTATATATGCCGTTATTTTTAAATTATTTGCTTAATATATTTTTCAATTATTGATTGAATGTCAAACTCCTGTGGTTTTTTTAGAGCATGTTAAGAAAGGTACGGTGTTCCGTTAGGACCAACGCGTTTACTCTGAGAACAGAAAGCACGAAACATGACAGTACGATGTCACCATCGTACTGGCGTATTGTAACCGTCGTACTGGCGTATTGTCACCATCGTACTGTCGTATTGTCACCATCGTACTTTCATATTGTCACCATCGCACTGTCGTATTGTCACCATCGTACTGTCGTATTATCACCATCGTACTGTCGTATTGTCACCATCGTACTGTCGTATTGTCACCATCGTACTGTCATATTGTCACCATCATACTGTCGTATTGTCACCATCGTACTGACGTATTGTCACCATCGTAATGTCGTATTGTCACCATC